AAAAAGATTTAAGAGAAAACAGATTTGCTATTTTAATCTTATATTTATAACAATTCCGTGATTTGTATAGTGACATAAATAGAAAGATTTAAACTTACATGTCCCCAACATGCAGCTGCGTGAACTGGCTGCCACTTATCATTGTCCTCCACGTCTGTAGATACATGCTGGTCAAGAAGAAATTCTACTACTCTTAAGTACCCATTTGCCGCTGCTATGTGAAGCTATAATAAAAATTGCGATATAATAATATATAGCAAATATAATTTACTAATTTTTATTTTTTCTTAAATTAACAGATCTATATAAAGAATGTATACATACAGGCGTAGCACCTTGATGATCTTTATATTCAAGGTCGCCTCCCAAAGAAGCAATTTTTTGTAAATCGCGTAACATTTGAACCTCGGTTGATGCTCTCGTTTCATCTATTAATTCTTGGGTGACTCCTCGCCTTGCCATCTCCCCTGCGTTAAAAATATAATTTATGTAAATATATGATGCCAGTGATTAGTAATATGCAGATCTCGGGTTCGATTCCAGTCCTTATTATACATATTTCTTGATAAGAAATGAAAAGATCTAGTATAGTAAGTAAAATTAAGATGAATAGAGTATGAGAAGGCATCTTAATTTTTGCCATCTGGCGACACATTGTAAAATCATTAATAAAATATTATAATTTAATAAAGTCTATTACCTTCGATACAATCTAACGTTTTTTCATCTTCACAAATGTCGTACGGCATGTTGCCATCAGCATTAACAGCTAATAAATTCGCACCTCTGGCAATGAGGTATTTGACTAAATGCAAGTGACCACACGTAGCAGCAGCGTGTAACGGTGTCCATTTCTCACTATCTTCCGCATTCACATTAGCACCAAATTCAATGAGTAGCTTCATCATTTCCTCATTATCATCTATGCAACACTGATGCAGTGCTGTTAAACCGTCTTCGTTCGTTGAATCAGGATTTACACCCTTCTTCAAAAGTCTTCTTACTGAAAAGAGATAAATATTGATGGGTAAGTCTCCAACATTGTATAAATGTTTCAAATATTACAATAGATGTACACAATTCTTTACCTTCATCAATATCATTCCTCGCTGCAGCTTCTAACAACATAACACTATCGCTAAAGTATATATGACGTTTATTGCTCGTATGCCTAGTTTGATGTCGCAGCCATTCCTTCTCACGTTGTCTCCATACTTTTAACTGTTGAAGTCTACGATGACGTGCCAAGTGTAATCGTTCTTGCGTAGTCAGTCTTTCAACGTGTACCATCTCTGCTACTAACTCGGAATGTTCCATTGTTACGTGCTTGTGATTTTTACAGGTATATTTACCTGTCCATACAAAAAAAAAACAAGAAAACATCACGAAATGTTAATGTAGCATTTTAGCATTTTATATAGGACACAGATATATAACGTTTTTTTTTTGCAAATGTATCAAAAGAATAAAATAATTTGTTTCAAAATAAACACAAGAGTTATAAATGTAGGTCACATTTGATTTGATTAACTATAGTATATATTTAGCTCTTTGCTTTATTAACATATTATTAAGATATTTGAGAGGAAAGACTGAAAAAATAATGCAATTCCAGTGACTTTACCTTTACGTTTACAAAGCCAAGGTCTCATTTTCAGATAATTAAAAATTTTTAAATATTTAAACGTTAAATGTCATTCTATTGTATTTAGGATTTCCCTTATTTCAATAACACATGTAATTTAATTGATCTCTCCTGAGTTATCTGGTGGGAATGATAGCATATTTTATTGCAGATGTTCTTTCAATAACTTATCAAGTAATTAAGTAAGTAAACATACAATATTTACACAAATGTTCGTGCCAAAATTGCTGCTAAAAAAGCTTTTTATGAATAATAATAAGCAATGATTTACTTTAAATGCTTCAATGTGTTCCTTTAAAACTTGACTGTATTTCTAAAAATATTTCCCAATACATAAAAAAATGATGATATATTTACTTTGAGAATATAAAAAGATATCTTGTAGATAGAATAACAATATAATATTTTCAAAAACAAACTGTTGAAATGCTTTTGCTTTCACAATGTAATGAAAATCTTTGTTAGGTGTACAGATTATATGTGCCTGTAACACACCATACACCCGCAATAAATTCTGTTCTTAATCTCAGGTAATACATTACGTCATTAGATCAAGAATGTACATATTTAAACATTCTACAATCTCGGCACACAAAGCAAGTTTTACACTTCAGAAATAATTTATAAAAAAAAAACCAGAAGCCTAGCACACACAAGTGTCAATAACGCCAGTTTCTACCAATGTAGATTAACTTTAATCTCTGTTCAATTAATTTTTCATCTTTTTCTAATTCTTAGAACTAGAAAAAGATAAAGAGTTAATTGCACCGAGATTAAACTACATTGGTAAAAACGGGCGTAAATGTCATGCTCTTGTCCTTCCTCGAAAGAAAGTCGCTAGCAATCATAAACGGGAAGAAATAAATACCGAAGTTGTTTACCGATATAGAGATTAAAACGACGTAGTTTTTTTTTTATATTAGAAAACTGTTAAGATAAAGGAGCACATAGTTTCCAATGCGAACTCCAATTCGAATCAACCGCACGATTTCTAAATCAATCCAATGAGACGGAAGATGCGTAAGACACGCATATAGAAGACTTGCTGATTGTTGATCGAGCCTGACGTCTATATGGTTACACGTTACTTCGCGCACAATCACCGTTGAAAGGTGCTCGGCGCAAAGTGATATTCCGTTCCGTCAGAATCCATCTCGCACCTTCCTCTCCTCGTGTCACCGTGTTCAACATACGGAGATAATCAGAAACTGTCAGAAACGCGGTAGAGCACGTCGAGGCAGGATAGTCTTCACTTCCTGCCAATTACATCGCTCGGCTTTCGGAGGGTAACCGAAGCCGTTCGCGCGATCAAGGCCAGGACGCGCGCGGCGCGTATCGCGCAGGATCTCACGGGAACGTGAGAAAGGCTCCGGGTAGAAAGGAGGAGGAGGAGGGGGGGGAAGGGAAGGGGAGAGAGGTTTTCTCGCGGGGGACGGACACGAGGATCAGCGCGATCGAGCGATGCGCCGAAAATCGAGAGAGAGAGAGAGAGAGAGAGAGAGAGAGAGAGAGAGAGAGAGAGAGAGAGAGAGAGAGCGAGCGCACAGTTCTCTCTAGCTCCTGTTTTAAAAAAAATCTCGGTCTTACTTACGTATGTATAAACGCGTGGCACGACACGCGGTGGTCGCGGTGCGGGTGGTCCGCTTTCCCTCTCCCCCTTATCTGCTCCGCGATCGGAATCGCTGCAGCGGAATGTATAACGAGCGACGACGGCGAGGACGAGGCGCTCGGACGCACGACAGCGACGGCGGCGGTGGGCGATTCATTCACGTCGCGCTTCGCGCCTACCCGCGACGTGTAATCTACGGCATAATCCGCGAGCGAGCGCGATAATCCCTTGGACGCGCGGCGCGCGCGCGCGTTGACGCCGTGTCTCGCGGGACAGGATATATACTGTGCCGCCGGTGGCGAAAATACGCTCGCCTCGCGCGCGTTCACCGTGCCTGCCAGCGCGTGCAGCCGCGGAAACGTCTACCTGTCGGTCGCCATTTTTAAACTACCTGCGAGAGATCGCGCTCGCGCACGCCTCGCCTCACCTCACCTGCTGCGCGGCCCTCGCTCGGCTGGTCTCGCCTGGCCTCGCCGGCCTCGTCGCGCGCCGCCCTTCCCCCGCGGATCGAGCGACCGGACTCGCGGCAACTCGCGGCTCGCTCCGGCTCGCTCGAATCGCGAACGAGGGAACGAGATGAAGGCGCGCATGCTCATCGGCGAACGCGCGCGGCGTGGCGCGGCGGCGGTGCCGCCGATCGGCTCAATACTCACGCTGCGCCACTTCCGCCTCGCCCGTGGAATAACGTTATTGCGTAACCGTTTTGCGTTATGCGCCAGCTGGTCGATAAACGGGGAGTCTTCCCGATGCTCTCTCACATCGTTTGGAATTCTCGGTCCGCGGATGAACTGATCGGCGAAGCGTGAGTCGGCCGCGCTCCGCTGGATTTCAAACTGGCTTAAACTCTTAAAAGTCATACTTTAAGCCCCGGATTACATTACGCGCATTCGGCATTCGAGATTACGGATTACGTGTTAGATCTCTGTTTCGACGAATGTAGATTAATTTTAATCTCGAGTTTATGTTTTTATTTGATTTTTAGCAACGGAGGAAAAGATAGGTAAAAAATTATATAACAAGTTAAATCAAGATTAAAGATAATTTATAATTGGTAAAAATGAAGATTACATTTTAGAGATTAAAAGTTTGATTAGTCGGATAATTTTAATTTCATCTCATTTCATTTTGATTGGTTAAATTTTTATCTCCAACTCGCAATCTTCTCATCGTATAATGTGACACACGAAGCTTCAAGTCGTTCGTCACTCCACATAGTGTCCAGTTTTTAATTACGAATGAGACGAACGTTTTCCTATTACTGAGAAATTATCACTGTCACATGTGTATGATATCAACGTCGCAGAAATATATTGTCATATCCACACGCGTGCAGATGATAATGCGCGATAGTCCTATTTATTTCTCTTGCAACTACATTCCTGTAAAACACAATTAATGCCAATCAAATGGAATTCTAATATCGTATGAAAAACGCTTAAATTATTCGTGCATTTTTTTTATTCAAGTAAATTTTGATTAAAACAAAAATTTGGTTAGCAAACATTCTGTTGTTCCAACCAAAATTTGATTTAAAACAATACAATTTTTTAATGAACAAAAGTAAGAAACTTTATCAGTCACAATGGTTATAAACATTTCTATCATTGTAGTCGAACTGAAATAAAAACATTATACTACACATTGTTAGAAACTGGTATTAAACACGCATTTTTACATCAATTCGTGTAGGACGGTTTATTACGTCAGAATGTTAAGGATGACATTGCCGACTGAGAGGTGCGCGTTAATTACGTAATTGTTTCGCGATTCGAGTTTCGGAACGATGAAATCCGTATGTATTTAAAATCGAAGTTTTACGTTAATAAAAAAGAAAACGTGAATTTTTTTTCATTTTCATAAATTAAGATCGATTTGTACGTCCGAAGACGCGCGCCCTCATCATCGGTGCGCGTGCTCCGATGACTCAGCCACGGATTCATCATGACGTAAGTATATACATCGATGGGATTCACAGTCATTCCTGGCCGTGACACCGTACGATCGCGCTCGATATTCGCCTCATCATTGCATACAAAAGTGATCTCAAACGCGGTGGCGCGAGCAGATAAGAACGAATCTTATCATTCGTGACGGCATTCCGTACCGTTCTCCACCTGTCTCCATCCACGGTACTCTCGGTACCGCGGGGTACCGCGTGGTACCACTCAGCGAACGACGACCTTGGACGCCGCTCTCACCGATCTTGTCATTTTTGTCCAACCTTGTCTAATCTCGTCGCCGCGACATCCGGACATTCCCGGACGTCCACGTGCATTTTGTTTATCGATATGGAAGAATGCGGCGGTGGCGCCGGCAGCGGGGCGCATCTCGCGGTTATCGCTGGTATTTTTGCGACCAGTGGCAGTCTTCTCGGCAAACTCGCCGGTGGCGCTGATGCATCGTCATTGGTGAGTCGGCGGTCGATTCGAATCGTCGGTAAACAGGGAGAAATATAACTTTACGGGTCAGTGACACTTTTTTTTATTTTTTACTTTTCCTTTTAGCAAAATTCGACTTATTCTTCAGCAGCCTTCTTTTAAAAAGTCATCGATTTGTCAAATTGCTCGCGTAGACTGCGAATCTTTATTTGCAAAATTTACTTTTTAGAAGAAAAAAATTAATGCGGTTTTTAGAATATCTTTAATTTGTATTACGTGTTTATAGCAAAAGTATAATTATAATAAGAATATTTAAGAAAAAATTCACCGAGAAATATCTAACACAAATGAGCGAAGGTCATATTCTGTCAAAGCAGATCTTGGCGTGCAACAATATGCTTAAACTGAAAGTTGTAAAATTCACACTATTCAAAAATGTTATTAGACATGAACATCACTTTCATCGAAAATATCGCTTTCTTCATTCATTCATATTGATATAATCTAATATAATAATAAGAAATGTGTTTTTTTTTTATAAAACTATTTTAACTGTACATTATACGTCATAATAATAATAACGATAACAATAACATAATTTTAATTATTTTATATAAATGTATAAATTAAATTTAAACAATATATTTGAAGAAAATAGAAACAAGAAAAAAGTACATGCATTTATGTAAACAAAATTGATAAACAAGTGGAAATAACAAATGATTATAAACAATAATAAGAAATTAAAAATAAATCAAATTTTAAAAATTTAACATTATAAACTAATTATAAAAAATTAAAATTAAAAGTATAAAATAAGTTTATAATGTTTACATGTTTACTTTCTTTTTGCGGTAGCCATCGTTGTTTCTAAAAGGAGTACTTCTCATCTTTATGCTCGTGTGCAACACCGTGGGATGCACTTTTTTTGTCAAAGCGCTTCATACCAGTGGATCTTCTTTGCCGATAACGGTCGCCAGTGCAGCTACAAACTATATTTGTTCGGTGAGTGGTTAAATCTTATAATTAATCTCGTAAATAATATTTTTTATTAGGTAACACGATTTAACACGGCCTTCCTTTCACAGTTTTAATCTCTCACATTAAATACTTCAATAAACTTAAACTTTATTTAACGAAAATCCCAAGACATTAATTAAAAATAATAATAAATAAAGAAAAAAGAGAATATAGTTTTTCTCCCCAAATGAAGTTTCAAGGAACATTCTATTATATTTCAATTTTAATAATGATATAATATAATATATAATGAAATTACAAAATAGTTATTATATCATTAATGACTTTTCATCGAGAAGAAAGTTTAATACTTCAAATTTGAGAAATTCATCATTGAAAGAATTACATTAATAAACTGTAAATAAATGGTATAATAGTATTTTTAAATTAAATTTTAATAGAATTCCATTTCAACGAAATTTTAATTCTTAATTTATAAAAATAATGAAATTGAAGATCAATAATATACATAAATAGCCTTTTTCTAAAGAAAATGTCTGCTTCAAATTGGAGAATCCATCACTGATGAAATTAAAGTCGCGTCAGGACGATCATCCATCGTGTTTATCGTAGAAAGAAATAAGATCGCCGTGAGACATCGGGCTAGATATATATTTTCGAGAAAGTTTTAACATCGGTAATGGAATGAAATGGCGAAGGGAAATAATCTGCAGAAGGACATTTGTCGGTAGCGATTACTTGTCTATAGTCGCTGGTCCGATACACTTCCGAGAGTCGGTTCGCAAAGAGTGAAAGTTGTTTCGCAAACTAGACGCAATTCCGTGAGTGTGTACAATGCGGCCATAGTAATTATATGCGCACGGGTACGTGGCGATTGAACGAGAATTGTATGATATAATACACACTATTGAAATGCAATCTCGATAGTAATATATTATACACCGCACAATGCGCTACGCCAGAATTATTGTTAGAATAATAGAAATAATTACGTTCACCATTTCGCGAATATGAGTTTTTAATTCACCGATTGATCAATTGCATTGTGCGCAAATGTAATTTCGTTTCGTGAAAGTTGCATTTGCACACAATATGATTGATCAATCGATGAATTAAAAAAACTCGCTATTTCTATTCTCTCCCTTTCTGAACGCGAAATATTATATTATAATATTAGCATATATTAAACAAGATTTTGTCTTATTAGTCTGTTAAGTAGAAATGATCGGAGATGTAGAAATATCATTCTACACGTCACACGACAGAATGCTTTTGTAATTCTCCGTGAAAATTGATTTAATCCGTTCGCGCGATAGCTATAAGTAAAACGACATGTATATATATTGATTACGTCGGCGTGAAATTAAGTATTTATGAGATTAAGTTTGGGTTTGCGAGGATATACATAGGTGAGCTTTAAACTTAAGAACGTCATCAATTGGTGATCCTCGAGAAATAAAAACGCAGTTATATCTGTATTTTATAGTTTGTCCTATATATTGCTCTATATATATGTATAATATGAAACACGTGGCTTGCTGATTACATTGATCTCCAATATTTTATATTTCTTTCGTAAGCAATTTTCAAGCGCGAAAACAACAGAAGACTTTTTTTACACAATGAATCCAATTTGGTGTAATAGTAATAATAAAAAGAAATTTGGCTAAAATTAGTGAAAAATATGAAATATATTTTTATACAATATTTTTTATAACATTCTGTATCTACCACGTTTCGTACACTTATTATGTTTTTTCATTTCTACTCGGAAGCTGAAATTTAAATGTATTATTTCAGGCACAGGTTTCAATCATAAAAATATCCAAAATCCCGATCGCATGATTATGAAACGCTAATTTTATAAATATCCTTCTCGAAGGCGCTCGTAGGCTCCATCGTATTTGACGAATCCACTTCATTGACCTGGTGGTGCGGAGCTTCCTTGGTACTTCTCGGCTTGATGTTGATCTGCAATGTTCCCGCTGAAAAAAGCGCTTCCGTCATCGAGGAAAAATTGAAACATCAATAGCTGACAATGGACGCTTTTATATTCTAAGCAAAAGCGATTGCAGTGATGTTACAACGGTACGATTATTTCCATTTTTGTATTATTGACATCGACAGATATATTTATTATGTCGGAAATACATTGTATTATTTATGAAAGATAAAAATTTTTATATATAAAATGAAAGTATCAAAGAGCAGGTAGATAAATTATTATTTATTACGGGCGTTATTAAGTATTATAATTACATGTGTGAAGCACAGTTATATATATATATATATCTTTATTGTAAATAAAAGATTCTATATTTCAATTTTTTCTATAGTGATTTTCTGCATAAATAGTAGATATAATTTTGGAGCGTATCGACGTACCATAATTGCCCAAACACTAGATGACGTACAATATGCAATTATGCATGTATCCACGTAATGTATTATTAGATCGATCATCGAACGCAGCAGTGCGAAATTCACTCAGGAGGATAAAATTATCTACAAGACTTATAAAGAGAATTGTTTTCCATTCTCTTCTGTTCTAAAATTATATTTCAGAAAGATCAATCAATTTAAAAAATCTTGAGAATGAACCGCGAGATTAATAGATTATTTTTTAGTGCAGTAACATAAGAAAAATATTTTAGAAATTTTGTAAAATATTAATTTTTCGCTCGATCCAACCATTTTGTATTTCTGATTGGATAGACTTACGCAGATTGGATAGATTTTACGCAGAGTTTAAAATGAGTTTGAAAAATCCACGATCAAGCTGTATCTGTTTTAGCACTTTTAGCACGAAATGGATATTTATGTCTACAATAACGATGAATAAGTAAAATGACGATGACGAGGAAGGCATGACGAAGTAGATATTTCTCCTGTTCCACCCTTAAAACGTGCTAACATGAAGCCTTTCCCCGTTCGAGCTGTCAAGTGGGTAATGTTTCACATTGACGCATTAACGTGGTGAAATTAACGCGGAGAGCAAATTATACATCGTTATTATTACGTTACGCCCGTGGTGGCGGTCTCGACGTCGATGTAACGCGTAATGAAGACGGAGATGGATATTTATGTCCCGGGATGTAAATATATTTACTATGAATATACGGCGAATGAATATACGGCGAGTGATAGCGGGCTATAATCGGACGCTGGACCAATCGATCCCTGTTGACATTAATTCGCTCGCGGGTATCGAGATAGTTATCAGAATGATATCGCACACGCACGCCAATTTCGCAAAATTGAGAGCCGTTGGCTTTTTCGCGTACAACATGGTTCATCGTGATTTTCAACATTATTCTCTTCGGGATTATGTTGGAACGAGCGAATATTGAGTTTTATCATCAATTAGCAAACATACAGGATAAATATCGAATAAAAAAGAAAGCAAATATTACTTTACGTATATCGATAAGAAAATACGTGATTGTGGAAGGAAACGTTATTACTGCAATTGTAATTATATATAAATATGAGAAAATTATGGAAGGTGAAATTATATTAAATTGTTATCTCTCATTTGATGGAAAGCAGCTTGAAATATTTCTCGCTTTCGCTCGCTTTCAATGCCACCTCCTCGCCTTTTTCGGGATGCACCAGCAGCGGAAAGAATGCGTTTCGTCGGGATGCAAGCTCATTCAGGATTGCATCGCGCCCTATACACACCGCGGTGTCCCTCTACGACGCAAGCGTAGCCCAGTAGCCCGGCGTGTGCGAGTCCTACTACACTAGATTTCCCGTTTGTAGGGCAGGGTCGAGGGACGAGAGGGAAAGAGAAGGGTAGCTAGGGGGTGAGAACGACCTTTATCGAGCGGCTTCTGCGCGAGCTCGCCCCAACGCCGTCGTTCTCGACGTTTTCACCCCCAGGGGCGGATTACCCCCTCCGACGCGTCGCCGGTAACTTTGCGGAACGCGTAGCTGCTGTCTCCTAGTTTAGGAGGACATCACGAGGAGTTTCAGCCCTTGGTCGGACAAAGAAGTCGTTAATCTTCCGGTGAAGAAACTCTCATTTAAAATCCTTGAGAGTGCGGAGATCCACTTCTTAATTAAAGATCCTCCGACTCACAATAAGATTGTAAATACGGTCGTTTGTCTAAGATCTGGTTAGATCCGGAAGAAAGATGATGTTATCTTTATAAATTCCAAAAAAATCCTCACGAGTCTCTACGACGTCAGACTCTCGCGAAGACAAAGTTCCGAAGTCCCTTCATCTCGAGCTAGGATCCGAGCTGTCTCAATTCGGTCCTGCCGATCCCCACCGCGTTTCGCACGTTCTACCCCTTCCTATTCCGTCGCGACAAATCTGTTACGAGATTTCCACCTTCATCCTCGCCCACCTCATGGCAATGAATTTGAACGGGACGCAGATTCCCGCGGACGGGGTGAGAAAGACGACGTCGGGTATTCGCGGCGTCTGCGTCGGCTCCTACGTAAAAGAAAGAGAAAGAGAAAGGGTGAGAAAGAGTGATATGATTCTCCTTGCTTATTGTTACGGCGGCGGATCTAGACGCTCGTATCTCCACCTCCATATCCGGTGCGGTGGGTGAGAACAGCTCTTTAAAAGAACGACCTGCGATAGTCCCTTCTGGCTCTATCGAAACATCGCGCCGATCTGGCCCGCTGACGGGACAGTCGTTGCCCACCGCAATCGATCGCAATATAGTGCTTCGGAGTATACGAGAGCTCAAGGTGCGCGACCTCCAAGTGTCTAACTGTTCTCGTGTTCTCTTGCGACGAATCTGTCCCGTTCGTTCGTTTTACCCGTCCGATTCTGAAGTCTGCGGTGGTAGAAGGTGCGCCTCGGGTATCAGATGCGAAGTCCTGTCTCAGGACGAACTGTAACCATGTCGGAACTGATGAAACGCGCATTCGAGACAGGCTTTCACGCGCGGCGATAGGATCTACCCCACTATCCTGCACGTTGCTCTAGCCGCTCTTCTGCCATCCTCCCTCGTTCCTTCCTCGTCGTCGCAGTCCAGTTTCCCCCACTTTGCGTGCACCCCGCCTTTTTCTCTTTCTCTCTCTCTCTCTCTTTCTCATTTTCTCCACTCTTCTCTCACCCCTCGTTGTTTGCCACTAGGAAAAGCTCTGCGTCCGCTCTTCACACGTTGCACCTCGCCGAGAGCGGGGCAGTTTTCGTACGACGCGCCCTTCCGTCGAGTTGCTGAGAGAGGGAGAGAGAGAGAGAGGGAGAGAAATAAGAGAGGGAGATGAGAATACACACAAATTGCGGTGCAATCTACTGCAATGGTGTGTGACAGACGAGGCTGAAAGTGTAACCGAACGATGGAATTAAAGAGGCGCGATCCGCTACGATCGGCCGCCTCGGGAATTTCTCCTCGCGGAAGCAGTTGAGCGAAGTGCAAACGATTTCTCGTTCATACCAGCTGCTCTCGGAGAACGAGAGAGAATGAGAGAATGAGATAGATATAGGGAGGGAGAAAGAGACGAGATAACGTCCCGCGAGTGCAACGAGCTAATCCGCGATAACGCAGAGCAATCTCTCCCAAAGGGATTCTCCCCGGCATCTTTTTCTTGCGATATCAGTGTGGAATTGTGCAGGTGCGTTTCTCGAATCAAATGCTTCCTTCATCTTTTCTCTTTTCGGAGCTTTCCCTTTGGACAGACGCGTTTCTTAACCAAGTGTTGTGTGATGAAATCTCATTTATTAATCTTCGTAGCTCGCCCTGTTATTACGTGCGTAAATAAGTATTCTAACATCGTCTCGTTCTCGCATTAAAGCATTCGTCCCGACCCTTTGAGAGAAATATCAGCCAGCTAGATGTAAATTTGTTGCATCATTTATAATACGTACAGCTTTTAGCTTGATTACAGGCTAATTGCAATATGCGCTTTATACGAGATCAAAGATCGAGATCAAAGGGAATCCAACAGCTGATCTAGATATAATTGACGAAAGGATTTTATGGTACGCGTCTCTGACACGTTCCTATTTTAATAATTAATTAAATTTATGCAATTGATCTGCACGAGGAAAAGAGCTTTTCGCAAAAACTTTTTGAATGACGGTATCCGTTTCGGATATGAATTCGATTGGATTTTTACACTTTTTTGTTAGATTTACCGGCTACACGTATCGGCTCGCAGTTTTATTTTAAGAGTAGGTCAACGTCACAGGATGCACTGCATTTTCGCATGCAATTGCATTTGAATCTGAATGGCAAATTGATAACTTTCATACAGTAGCAAAATAGCGGCATTCCCAGTTGCAAATATCCACAAATCTGGATAATATCGAATATCCTGATAGAAGGTTATTCATATTTATGTCAGTGATTGTAATATCGATTCCGCTCCCTCCGAATGGAGATACTCTCTTTAAAATAAATTACGTTTTATATATGTAGATTATTATTAGATCAAACTGATACGGGAATTTTGTAAACTTTAATTGTTATTATAATAAATTAAAATATGCATTTTTACATATTTATTATATCTATTTATTTTCGCATTTTTACACATATTTTATATACCTATTTAATATGTAAATCTCTTTGTACGTACAGATTTATGAACTGAACGCTAATATGTAATACTGATATGAACACTGATGAAAGATTAAATAACGTAGATAAATAATGAAAAATTATTACTTTGTTTCGATATTGCAATCACTAATTTCTGGCTTCCCATCACGATGGAGTGTTAAGCTATTATGACCAATGTTTTATTTTTGAGGCAACAGTTTTAATGCGTATAAAATGATATTTTTAGAGTGAAAATAATATATCTTGATGCTTTTCTGTGTTTAATTTTCAAATATTAAATTAACAGCTTTATGGTATTAATTCGAGATTTTAAAAAACGGCAAGAGCAATTGTGATATTTAATATTACGTTTAAAAGGATCTCTTAGAGGTTTTAATATAAATAAATATTTTTCAAACATGATTTCTTTTTATATATATATATATATCAAAATTTTTATATATTTTCCAAAATTTTATTAAAAAGAATTCTTTAACATTCAAGTTCCTCTTATACTCCTTAACTCTGAGATTGCTTATATCCTGTGTGTGGTCATGCGCTTCAATAAATTAAAACTCATAATATAGTGATAACTCATACTAACTCACTTACTAACTAGCGATGTGGTATCAAGTTACGAGGTCGTCGTAAAGAGTCCGTGAATTGTCGTTGCAATTAATATAACTTTCAGCCACGTCGATTAGCTTCTTTCTTGGCGGACGACCAAATTAATTAATTCAAATTTTGGAACACGAAATTTCTTCGGCATCGTATAGTACCGCAATATTACATTGATATTTTATTGCGTTCTACGATTTTCATCGAAAACAAACAGTTCCGAGTAAACAAAGCGTTCCGCCTCGCCTTGGCGAGCGGAATCAAAACGCATGCTGCATCGTAAAATATGTTTTGCACCGTTATGTGGCAAAATACGTCGTGTCAGCGTCAAGCCAATATATATTGGGCTCGAATTTACATAAACGCATGCAGCCTTGCGCTTCTGTCAGATCCGAGTGTGTGCAAGCAAAACACGTCTATTCCTATATGCGCCACTTTGGCCACGGAAGCGCTATTTTTCCGCCAAGAAACGTCGTCTCGACTCGACAGTCCCTGACAGTGAACAGAATTTTCTCTGTGCGACCAATCGCACCATGTCTCTATTATACTTAAATACTGTACGGAGAAATTTGTTCATTGAAGGCAACTAAATCTCGGACAGCATTATATGCGCACCTGGCTATACTACTGTGCTGTGCAAAGTGGGTTAACGTACTGCCAGGTCCTTATAATCCATCTATTGATCTTTAGGTAATCGATAAACTCGCGTTCTTTAAACCCCCGTCCCCTATCCATTTTCTGTAACAATGCCAGCAGTTTTTAATAAGGATTTCATTGCCATTTATAATAACTTTTTGCGGACATCCGCTATTTCTATTCTATACGATGACGCAGCTGTTTCTTGCGACGCACATAATTTAAAGGCGCGTCGTCGTTGTTCATTCGAGAAATCTCGGTTTGCCTGTTTTTAAGACGAGATCACGCGACATACGTCAGAAACGCGGCAACGACAATTTATCAATAACTTGTCCCACTTTCTTGAAAGAATAAGCGCACGTTTCCTCTTTCGAACGAGGCAGTCGTGTGCCTCATGTATCGCTAATCGATACTCAAGACAAATTCCTTCTATCGTTATTTTCGCTGCGCCGGCCATGTATCTAATCCACGCATTTTTCAACCGATATATTTTTTCTCTTGCAGGGCGTCGTAGCAGGTAACTTCTTAAAGACGGTTCTATTTTTTACGCAACACACCGCTTTGTATTGAAAAGTCGATCGCTTCCGCTGGCGCGCCAAAGGTCTGCTTAAAACGCAGCCCTTTTCGATTCCTATGGCCGCCCGAGGCCAGACGAGACTGAATCCGCATGTAAATGGAATCCTCTCCGTTGGGACGACCATACGGGAGTTCGATAAAGAGGCCGCAAAAAGCAAGACGTGAATATAAATGCGCGCTCGCGCTTTGAGAATCAGAACGTGCTTCTCTTCTTTGAAATGCAGCCTCGCGTTACGTAGGCAGATGCAGCTTATCGAGAGGCACGATTGCAAAAGCGATAGGCGAGACTCTCCAAATGCAGAGGAAAATTCGGAATAACGCCATGCATGACAATGTTAGCGAGCTGGAATAAATCACCGATGATTACCGACGTGCTAGGGTAATAAATTACCAAGGCGACGGAAAAAAAACAAAGATAGAGAGAAAGAGAGAGAGAGACTGATAATTCTGCGAATACCGAAAGAGAGGATCGATCGAGCCACGTGGTTTACGCAATTTCGCGCTGCGTATAAATGATACGAGCGAATACGCGGCGATTTAACAGACTCGATCGCGATACGTCGAGGATGTTGCTTGACAAATTGTATCTCCACCTTGCCGACGAGGATCGAATCGGATCGTCGAGAAATAAACTCAAGAGGCTAAGGATGACGGTGGCCGAACGAGGATTTATGCACAACTCACGCTTTTAAACAACGATAATACAAAGAACGCGCTCATCATTGCGCCGGCATCATGGGGAATGGCATGAACAAGGTGAGAAATTGCTTTATCAAGAAAACTTATACTTTCAGATCGATACTCGAGTTTTTAGCTGAAAGAGAGAATGCATTTTTCATGGCAGAAACGTAGATCGGGTTCAAGAAGTTCTCTTCTATTCGAGAATAGTCTCTAAAACGAAATTGTACAGGACGTCTCACTTCTCGCGAAACATATGAAATATTTATCACTTTGGTTCTTTTTTGATGAACGTAAATTCTAAAGAGAAATTGAAACGTTATTAATATTCAATTTGCATTTATTTAACTAGCCTTGTATAATTTATTCGATAATATTGCATTCTGTTTCCTGCACTTTTAGTTATCAATCTTTCTTATTATCTATTGATAGAATATTTAAGAGCTCCGCTTTTTATCGCGGACGCACGAGGCGTTTTAAAATGTTCGCTTTTGCTTTCTGTCGTCTCGACTACTCATCTCGTATCGTCTTCTTTAACCTATTAATAGACAGCAATTAATTGGCCACTTCGTACAAAAGATTTAATAAAAATATCCAATCTTCTGAAGAAACTTCTCTTAAAAGATTAATATTTCTAAACAAAACGAAATAAATCAAAAGACGTTGTAGAGATACTGATTCAATTAGCTTTTTGCTTATTAATAATTCCTTTTAAAATCTTTCAAAGTGATTTTTTCTTTATAAAGAGCTAATTATATGTTTGTTATCGCTTTGAGTTGTAAATACTACTAAACAATAGTCAATGGATCTTTGTTAAACGTATCTTTTTTTTCTCGGAGCAACGAGGGTTTCCTTTTTATAGAGTGACTATAAGTTCTATTCTGACCGAAGGATTGACTTCACGCCTTTATTACTTACTCGACAACTTGTTTAAACGCGTTTCAATATAACGACTTACTAGCGCTGTCGTAACCGCGAGTATAACGACCGACGTAATACGCTTGATAATAATAAAATTTTACGTCCGGTAACGGACGCGATCATACGGCTCGTAATTGCGAAACGGAAGGAATAAATCTGATATAGAAACTTTGCGGAGAGATGAAACTTCATTTGCGATAATCCCTATTGATTATGATTTATAAAATATAGGATGAGGATTATTAAATAAATGATCAGTCGATAATTTGACTTACACGTTCTCGTTGCAACTTTTAATGCAAATTTCTTCTTTAAACCAATTTATAGAATTTTATTCTGCTTTAATATAAATTGTCTACATATACTAAACGTAATGAACTTCAATAATCCTTTTGATCCGCATACAGATATTGAACAGAGAATATTTTATATATAAGAACTTTATTTATAGAAATACAATTATTTAGTCACAAGATTTTTGACACAATACAAAATGAATGACGCAATACAAAATTGTATAAAACGGTTGCGATAAAACAAAAGAGAACAAATTAAAATATAGTTAATGTTTATAATCGACAATTGTCTCAATTTTATTTTTTCCATTACAAAATGTTCAACTACTTAAGACGAAATATACAATCTCGTGATATATTTTGCTCGAAACGTCTTGCATGATAGTGTCAAAGTTTCTTTTACAATCTTATAAATTTACGATACAACATTTTGAAATATATATCTTACACACAGCAACGTTATATATTTCACGCTCATACATCTGATATACCGTGATTATATCTCGTTGTAATTATCTCGTCTTATTCCACGATCGGTCGATGATCCACGTTCTCCAGCGAACTCGATGTCGCCTCCGTTCGTGAAGCTGTCACATTCCGGAGATTATCTTGAAAAAATGCCTGATCGAGTACGTCGATAATGTTCATCTTTCTCCTTTTACAATTTTTCATTACGCATCTGATTTTGTATCGGGAGAAGTTCCGATGGGTTGCGTTCTTCGTAGCTTCCGTAATCGTTATCGCGTTAATCGTCAATGGGACAACGATGGGAGTTGTAAAGGCAATATCCGTGAAATGCTGCTGCATCGTTGAAGTTTCCGTTGTTGATTCCGACGTATGATTTAGAGTACTCGCAGGGACATTCCTGTCACTCTTGACGTCAACGGAAATAGATAGATTTTTTACGATAGGTGATCCTTTCAGTTCTCTTGGTTTTGTTTTCCTCTTAAACAACGACAATTTTCTATTTCTCCGATTGCCCCGTTTTCGGCATCTGCATTTCTTTCTTCGTTTATGATGTATCACTGAAGATTCGATGATACTCTCGGCCGCCTGTTTTAACTTTAATAACATTCGATGTCTGATTCTTTCGATCTCGCCTGACTTTAAAATCGCGTCCGTGATATTTCTCGATGAAGACCGCAGTCGGAACGCCGGAAATGACAGGACGGATGACGTCAAGTTCGAGATGTTTCTCGGAGAATGTACGAGAAGGGTTTCTATGTCACCGGGTGGATGATAGTTGGATCGCGATCGATCTCCCGATGTTATCTGCACGCTGCAGTAAATCGCGCAAACACACCAAACCACCAGCGATTGAAATTGCATTTTTGTCGCCAACAATGAAGGCTGCACGACAGCCTGTTTAATATTACTCGTTCTCTTCACCAATATGTTGCTCTCCTTTTTTCTATACGTTTTCTTCTCTCTTTGTTCCCGATCTATCGATCGATCGCGAGACTGCGATGTGGTCTCATGGCGATCCGGTCGTTCTTTCTCATCTAAAATCAACGCACGAGGAGGAGGGAGCAGAACCAGCGATACAGTACGGGGGAGGGTAATCACCGCGCATAAAAAAGTTCGAATGAAATTAAATCGCGGGGGAACTGAGACTAACGATCTGCGCCGGGAAAGAATGGATGTTTTCACAGTAGCCTATTGCGACGAGAAAATAAATGTCACACACGCGAACGGTCGAAGAGAGATTGCCGTAACAGATTGCTTTTCTAGACGTCTTAATTTGCCTATCGCCCATCGCGTTAACTCCCCTGAGCTTCATTTACATGAAAGAAAAGATGATCCTCCGGTGTAAAATTGAACCGACGTTAAAAATTATATCAATATTGATCATGGAACGAGAAAAACGGTGCGGATACCGTTGAAACTAATGTAGGCCTCCGGCTATAGTTTAAACACTACCCTCCATCGAAATTCAATATTTGCAAACAGTAAGTTAATCTAAGATTACCGCGCCGTCGACGGCCATCACAAATCCATCACGCAGGTTTGCTTTTTTCTCCTTCGGTCTGACCTGGATTTCTTCGTCGAGTGATCTTTCATCAAACAAACGCTGAGAGAGGCTCGATATTTTAAATTAGGGCTGTCGAAAAGAGAAGGACGGATAAGAATATTTTAACAATGACTTATTTAAAGTCACGATTTAGGAAGCGCGCTTTATAACACTCTAAATCGATTATGAGTTGATTATGATTATATGGAATATCTAATATCAAGTATTAAGTATAATTAAGACTTGCCTCGAAATATAATTACCTCGCGCTTTCGTTTGCAGGTGCTTTCTGGTCTTTATGTAGGTAATTATCAGGATAGTAAGGACGCTGATCAGTTGGAGCGTTTCGAAATTACGCATATTCTGGCTATTCACGACACGGCTCGGCGTTTGCATTCCGTGAGTACGAATAATGTGCAGAGCACGTACCGATCTTAGAATGAATAACCGAATAATTATCGAAAAGGCAAATCAGAAATATTTACATATTCTTTGCAAAAATACAATTATACTACATCTCGGTTGCGTTTCAGGACAAGCATTATCTATGTATCTTGGCTGCCGATAGTCCCGATCAGAATTTGTCGCAATATTTTTCTCTGTGCAATGACTTTATTCATGCCGCCCGTCTTCGCGGCGGAAACGTTCTGATCCATTGGTAGATATACGTTTATTGTTGCATATGTTGGATATTTTAAAATCGCTGGATTGTCCTTTTTGATACAGAATTTTTTAATCAATTTTAAAATAGATTTTTCTTTAATGAAAGTATCGAATCTACGATTTTTTTCCCTGAAATGATTATCGGTTAAAAAGCAAATTTTGTTAACGAGTAAAAAATGGAAGCAAAAAAAGGATGTAAAAATTAAACACCAATGAAGGTACAAGTAACTTGGCCAACGAGGAAATTGGAAGAATATCCAGTGATTTAAAAAATATGCAATATTCAAAAATTTGATCAAATTTGCAATTTATTAAAACAGGAAATAAAAGCTGATTTTTTCATAAATATAAAAATTATTTTCTCAGTTTGGCAGGAATGTCGAGGAGCGTGACAGTAGCGGTGGCCTATATCATGAGCACTACCAATCTATCTTGGAAAGAAGCGCTTAAAGTTGTTAGAGTCGGTCGTTCCATTGCAAATCCGAATGTTGGTTTTCAACAACAGCTGAAGGATTTCGAGTCTAGCCGTTTACAAGACGTAAGTATAATAATAAACAAACAGGATGTTTCTCCTCAAATTTGTAGTTACGAAAAATTCGGACAGTACTTTCTTTTCTTTTTCTTTATCTATTTCTTTTGAAACACAGTGTAATGCTCTCTTTTTTCCCGTAAACAATTTTTTCTTCTTTTCTCTGCGTCAGAAAAAATTCGATCGGAACAGAAATCATCGTTCAGTTGATGTTATTTTATATTGTTATCGTCAAATTAGATTTCTATTGTATTGTATCTTGATATAGGAGCGTAATAGGTTGAAAGAGCGATTCCCTAGCCTCGCTCTCGCCGAGTCTGACGCCGAAGCCTGCAGATCCACCCTGAGGAATTACGAAACACTGGCTCTAGCGAAAGAGGTTTGCGAGGGTAAATGTGCCATGGGACGCACTTGTCCGACCGGGCTTTGCCGTCAGGCAACTAAAAGGTAATTACATTGAAAATCTTAGTTGTAAAGCGTTGTACACATCCTTATCCTGTCCAAGTATAATGTGACAAATGAGAATTACAAAAAGTTATTATGTATTATAGACAATGAAATTAAACGAATATGGTAGACAGCGTTACGTAGAATAAATGTATATAAATTTGCAGGACTCTGAGAAGGAAGTCATCCACCAGCAGTATCGGAAGTGTGTCATCCGGCAGGACACCTCCGCAAACACCACGGATGCTACCATCCGCGCCACCATCGCCGGCTCTGCACAGATCATCTAGCGTTATGTCCACATCGAGACCGAGGAGTGGACCTGCAGGATTGCACTCTTATACCGGAGGATCCGCTCCACCTTCTAGGTAAATCTTAGAAATTCTCGTAATTGTATAATTTAATAATTTATTGAAGCGTTACAACTTACAGTTACAATAATATTTCAATTGTCATATTTATTTTTATAAAAATGTCGTATTTGTAAAAATATGAGATTGAGAAGAAAACAATATTTTTTTACCAAGAGAAAGTAAACTATTTATTAAAGGAAAGAAAATAAACGTGTTTTCGGATGTCACAAACTGAGACGCGCTTCTTGAGGATTAGAAAGGAAAATATTAAGTTAGGACTGTTTTTTTTGCTAAAATGAAACAATTCCGAGATGTTACAAATCATAGATCATATTAAAGGGCTACTTAAACGAAGTCAAGTGTATCGCTTATCTTAGAGAAACATCGGAAACATAGAAGAAATCGTTGACAAAAATAATAAATCTAAAAGTCATTAAGATATCCTAAAAATTCAACAACAGAAACTGTATTGTTAGTATTTAAATACATATAATTTGATAAACGTATTTGTTCAAAGCTAAAATCGGAAATCAAACGATTTGTATCGAATTCTTCTTCTCGCTCATCAATTACTTAATAATTTAAGTAACAATTAATAAATACAGTGCTTGTAATTGCTTATTTTCCGAGATATTCTAATACTTTACTCAATAATTTTTTATCAATAAACGTGTTTTAGATCTATCAGTTTTCATTATATGTGTCTGATTTCTCCCATGCTCCTAATATTTCTTCAAGATAAGTGAACATCACTTGTTTTCGCTTAAATATAAAACTTTTAATATAATATATAATTTGTACATCTCAAACTTTCTTCATTTTAATCGAAAAACAGTCCTAACTTAATATCCCTTTTTTCGAAAGTTGAATAATGTTGATTATTCAGGGCTGTGTCGAGGGTGGATCTTTCGGCGGCGGTTGCCTGCAGCAGCAGCAACACCAGTCTCTCCGCCGTGGGCAGATCGAGTGCGTTTTCTAGTAGCAATTGGCGACTGACCGCCGGTTCCGCGCCGAACACGCCGAGACCGACGCCGCCGGTCTCGCCACAACGCTGGCCAAGGCGATTCTCGAGTCGGCAGACGCCGCAGTTACCGGCACCACCGGAATCGCATCCTTCGACGATGACGTAGCATCGGGAGTCACGCGGTTCTCTGTCAAGCTTGGTGGAATAACCGAAGGAGATCGGCGAACCGCTCGAGGATTTTACCGCCAATATTACGCGCTTTTCATCGTCGGCAGATTAAATTACGTAATTGCTATATCATTCTTTGGCGTTGGGAGCAATTTGGATGAGTCTTGGAGAGAGACTTCCGGTAAAAGAGAACGGAAAGGTTTCGAAGAAGGTATATTTATCTATGAATTATACAAAGACGTGCCTGCGAATGTTTTTTACATTTGGGACATTTGAGATATTTAGTGAGACGTATAATTGCTCGAGAAACTATCACGGGTAAATAATGATTTATGTGATTTTGCAAGATAATGCCATATGTTGGCTCACAAGTTGAGCTCGTCGGACTGGCGGGCGAGGGAAACGTTGATACGTCGAATGCACGTAACGCGTTGCTGGAAATTGTTGGTGATATTGACTTATACATTGTTACAAGTTGTTGCTTATATACAGCGAGAAAGTGCTTTTACCGCGGATAGGATGGGAACCGATGAGATTCTTCTCGTACGGAAACACAAAGTGTTTTATGTGAGTTAATTTCGCGCCCCACACAATTAGATCTTCGTCCTGATTAGATTCTCTCACGGAGAAATATCTACGAGCAATGGACATCGACGGATACTCTCTGACAATCTGTCATTTAAATACAATAAATCACGGGGGTTGAATTGGTACGATCGCGTATGGATCGATCTGTGAGGTAAAGTAGTAAATTGGAAAGATTGACACATTCGGGACATGGAATTAATCCTTTGGGGCTTTATCGGTTACAACGATAATTGCGTGCAATTAAGTGCGAGAGGTTATTTCGCGCTTTTATGGCGTAGTTCAATCACGTTCGTTAACGATTCACCGCGTGCAATTTTTTCCTCGATAATGCGTGAATCGTTAGCAACTAATCACTGGTTGTGAAAAGAAATTGCTCAAAAAACGGCAATTATGCAATATCTACAATAATGTTTCCAAAGGATTAATAAAAATGGAAAAAAATATATGCACATATAATCGAATGCGCGAGCGCTCGAACGTAGATCGATAATTTTGAACTTGATCGCGCAAAGTGAAGAATCGTTGAAGACTATTTTTCGATAGAACTTGCGGCGTGTGTGTGTGTGTGTGTGTGTGTGTGTGTGTGTGTGTGTGTATGTGAGACTGGAAATGAGTGAGAGTATCAAGAGAATGAGAGAGAAGAAGAAGAAACGTCAATTTGCTTCCAGATCTATACGCGATTCAAGATTAGTTCTATGAAGACCGAATGGTTTTGCGCGAATACATTCTTAGGAAATGAGAGATCTTCATTCCACAAACCTGTTCCATTAATTTCGTTCGCAACCGTCCATATGATTGTTGGCTTTCTAGCGAGATCGCACTGTTTTATCACAAGTTGTTGAAGAAAAAGGGAGAAATACGTAATTATATATATATACAAACACATACATAGACATACACACATGTTGGAAACGTACACATACATTGTTGCGCGAAGGGCTTTCAGATAATTTTATAAGTGCGTCGATGATCGCAATTATATTATTATATATAAAGTAGTAAGGGCATTAGGCAAAGTCGTTGTTGTTGTCTCGTCAGCACGAGCACCAGTTGTTTACGAATGAGTCAAGATTTAAGATAACGTCGCTTCGATCCCCCTCAGTATTTCTAGTGTGCACGGTAAAGTAATGTAGATCGTTTTTAAATCGTTCCCATGTACGTTTCACGTACATGTGGTAAGCTATATGCATTGCGACAAATTATTCGGTGTACAAGCAATCGTCATACCAGCCGATTCTATCAAACCCGCATTTTTACCGCATTACTACATTTTCTAAAGAAACATGCATTCTATCCACGAACAAAGTTGGATTCGTATTCTAAGGACGTTCTCTCTTACAGGGGAATAGCAAATTCTTAAAATATTTTTTTAAAAAGATATTAACGAACATTAACTTTATTGTATTATATAATATTAAAAGGAACAGAGTAATTAGGGACATAAATTATCGTTTAACTTTAATAGCGAACTTTTAAAATCACTAGACAACGTTGAATTCAAATTTTATTGAATTTGAATTGGATAAAGGTAGAGTCATAGTTATCTACGAAATAACTGAAGAGAAAGCAATATTTTACAAAGAAGTATTGTAACATATATGTAGAGTGTCTCATTATCACCGTACAATATTTTAATCGCTTTTATTCTTGAGAAAATATCAGTATTGAAATGTCAAGGTCATAATAATTTTCGAGTTGTAAGTTAGTCAAGTTGACTAATGGTACCCTGCAACGTTTGCACGTTTGCGGTAATCGATCCATCATCTAGTATATTCATTTTCACGTGATATTGATTCTTGCTGTTCGATTGATTTCACTTTTTAGTTTTTAGTTTCTTATATATAGATATCACATAGGTACATATCTATAGACATATATATATATTTATATATACATTTTAAAATGTAAAGGATAGAATGTTCGATATTTATTTTATAATACATTAAATATTTCTGGACAGCGAAAGCTCTGTTTACATATCGGCTGGCCGAGCTGCCACATGATAGCGCACGATGCGTCTTTTTGCGTATCGTTGTGTTATTTCTCGAAATATATACACGATCACGATAATTGTCAGAAGACGCCAGTTACTTGTTTTATCTTTAGATATTATTAGAAATTGCAATTAATTTCTGCATTATCTATATAATTACTGATGGTTATTTATTATTAAAGCAAATATTTAATAATCTATGCATAATTTATTCATTTAATTTAACATAGAAATCGATATGGCAGAACTTGCTCCATGGTAATATTACGGATGAGATAATTATTTTTTAATAATATTTAAAATTAAATACCTTTATCTTACATCGAACGTTGAATTCTCTGATTTAGGTATAATTTTATCATTATTCATGTACTGTAATTGGAATCGCGCCGAATTATTATCATTAATAATATAACAGTACACGTCGGATAGAGTTGCGGATCAGATTTCAACTAACAGAAAGCCATGTGTCTGAATACTGATTAATAATGTACATTTTTCGCGAATTATATGTGCAATATTGAACTTTCTGTTTTATTTTTTTTCCTACACCATCGATACATTTATTTATTATTTCAAATATCATTTAAAATGTACGATAAATTAATAATTTTAAATATTAATTATTTATATAATATTATTTAAAGATCGCTTTTTACAACGCTCGCATTATTATTTGTTGTTCAAAATAAAAGATATATATGAAGGTATCACTAAAACCAATATTGCAACGAGTCTTTTCGCGTCGTTTCTTTCGTCGCGAACAGTTAATGTTAGAAGTGCTGCCTTAAGTGCCGTACGGTCGTTACATTACGGTGATTAGTGTGCGTGCAATTGTAATTAACTGTGTCTTTGTGAATTAAAGTTGTGTGGGTGCCGAAGAAGCAAAGTGACAACGAACAAATAAGGGAAAGCGAGAAAGAAGGCCTTGGAGGTATTAAATGACGGTTAAGCATCTGTAGGGTGAGTACATGTTTATTTGCGGAATTAATCAATTACTTCTGTTTATTTGGTTTGTTTATTTAAGTGATTTACGTAAGAATGTGAGAAAAAAGGACTTTTATTTATAAAATTTTATAAAGATTTACGCTCAAGAAGACTCTTTTGGCAATGTTATACAATTATTTTATTAAATATCTAATTAAAAAAGTAGAAAATGAAACGTGCGTAATTATTTTTGGCAATTTGAATTATTTTGAATTTATTCTGAAATTACTATTGTTATATTTTAATTATATATTGTACTTTGCAACTTATAATTAGTATGCATATTACATCGGTAAGATTCGAATTATTTTTTACTTTATTTGGTAATGAATCAATTAATGTATTAGATAAATACGATAGGATGGAATACATTAATACAAATATTTAATCGTGGAAAATATATAATCGTTTACCGATTTAGGTGTATTATACATTCAAGAATGTATATACATACACAGCTCATAGAACAGAGTTTGTTGTTATCAACGCATTATTGATTATTCGATTATTTACTGATTTATTTTAGTGTTGCATTAAATTCCATTAATGGAATATCAATTGCGAAGTGCTACACAAATCTCTTCTAAATTTTTAGAAAATTTTACACTCTCATAAATAAGATAAAAAAGAAAATATTTTAATTATAATATATTCCACATAGCAATAGTTGGATAAAAAACGATAAATAATACTGCAGTAATCTTCTATGATAGAACATGTAACGTTAATTTCATTTTTTTTTCTTATGGTATTTTCTCACGAATGCAGATAGAACGATCTTTGTAAAAATGATATGTATTTCTGTAAATATGTATATTTTATTACATATAAATATATACACGTGTGTGTATATTCACGTATAATAGAAATAAATCTATGTATGCCCATAAGCACAGTAAAAAGTTGTTAATATTTATTTACTTTCATGTACTTTTTCTTAGTTTTCCTTCCTAATATATTTTAAAAATAGAATTTTAAATCTGCGTTTGGTCTCTCTGTGTATATACTCTTTTTTCTGAAAAATCAGGTGGTATATAATATTGAATCGTACATAATATTATATTATATTGTGTAAAGAAAAGAAAGTTAGGAAACCTTAAGATATAAGTACAAATAACAAGCATAAAAGAATAGGAAGTAAGTCATAGTTATGGCAGATTTCAATTAAATTATTTAAAGACACCGCATGTGAGTAATTATTAATTGTATCCGTTCTTATAAAGCGCCAATTTTATATATCCTAGGCTTTCAATAATCCATTCATTTATATTGATATATTGATCACTTTATACCACTTGAAATTAAACAAAAAGGTATCCAATAATTATTTCATTGTAGAATAAAATTCTTTAATTCTCAATAAACTGTTTACAGTTTTTAAAATGTTTATTGATATCAGTATTATTAAATTGCTTTTTAATTTAATATATGATATTACCAATTTACACCGAAATATTTAAACATT